GGGGGGGGCGAGGGAGGTAGACACCCTTAATGGAGCGATGCTCTAGTTCTCTTTATGCTAACCATGAAGATGTATAGTAAGTGTAACTGATTGGCTTACAGTAAACCTTTGAACTACCGGAATACAACCACATTAAATTCCATCTAATATTTAATGAAAACAATAAGATTATTAATTAGGCCATTTTAAGAAATTGAGTTCTCTGAAGGTTAACTACAGAATTTAAAGTACGCTGTAGTAATGTGTTATAGGTTGTAAATTCAACTGTATTCTTTTCGAATAAAAATATCTTTCGCTTGACATTAGGAATTAATCATTTGTGATACAAAATGATAGGCTTTTGTCAAGCGTTATATTGAACAGTGGCAGATTCAAGGGGGAATCCTGTCAGCATGGGCTCCCAACCTCCCTATTTTTTTTCAGAATTATAAAAAAAATTGACAAAACAGACAAAATTGTATTCAACTTTTAATTTGAGAGTGCCATTTTCTGGCCATCTGGAGGTGCCATAATCATAATTTTTCTTACCTCAGCCCCAACAGTTGTGCGGATGAGGTGAGTGGACATTTGTGCAAAACCCTCCTTGGGTCCCCTCTACTTCGACTTCCTGGACCCGCCACAGTTAAAGTATCATTTCCGGGCTACACAGAAGGGTACTTTTTATCCATCGGAGGAAAAGTTAAGTCGTTGTCGGGGAACCCATATCAAGGATAACCCGTATTATAATTCATGGAGATCGTGGAAGCAATCTCGACTTCGACTTTGTTTGGAAATCTATGACACATTCAAGGGCAGGGGCTAAATTGTTCAATTTTTTTTTTTTAAATAGAGATACTGTACAATATAAGCAAAATTATATTCAAATTTTAAGTCTAAGAGTGTAATTTCCTGCCATCTAGAGGTGCCATAATCACAAATTTTCTTACCTCAGCCCCAACCATGGTGGGCTGAGGTGGTATAGATCTTCTGCTAAAGTACCCAGTGTCAAATTCAAGGGGACCCAGCCAGCCCGCCCCTGCCCCTAAATTGTTAAACAAATTTTCTTATCTCAGCCCCAACCATGGTGAGGCTGAGGTAGTATTGATCTTCTATCTGTGAAAGTACCCTTCCTGGGCCCTTCTATTTCGAATTCCTGGATCCGCCACTGGAAAATACAACAAATATGAAGTCATATTACAGTAGATTGATGCCTATAAAATAACTTATAAAATTCACCAAACTTCGTAAAATATCGCTGGACCCCCACCGGAGACACTTCGCGGCCTCCTGGCCCCCAGCCAATGCTCGCATTATTGGACCTTATGAAATTCCCCCACCCCCGCTTTCAAAAACGTTCCGCGGTCGTTGTTTGGTGTTCCTTGAGCCTGGTACAGGAATCATGTCCTGTTTCACCAATGTAGACCTTTCCACACTCACATGGAATCCGATAAACTCCTGGCAGGCTCTGTGCTGGTAGTTTATTTGAAGAGTTCAGGGTAGTTTGTTGGGTGCACTATGAAACACTTTAATATCGGCTTGTTGTAGAATGCGTTGAATATGCGTTGAAAGATGTCCCAAATATGGTAAACATACATACTTTCTGGATTCTGTATCATCTTGGCTATTGCTGCATTTGGATATTTTGAAATCTCTCATGTGATAACTGTTCAGTTTCAGGGCTTCCTTAACATTAATTTTGTCGCAACAAAATGCTATTTTGTCGAAAAAGGACTTTTGTAGATGACCTATCTGGCAGGGAGGTTCTTGAATGATCATGATCCTGGAATAGAATCCCTGGTGGGGCTCATGAATGATTTATGGGTTAATGGGCCATAACGGATTGGCAATCACAATAATTTTGTTCGAATCCGTCAAATTAATATTGATAAGAGGGGTCCATGCTTGTCCGATCAATGAGGTGAAAATTTCTGTCCCCCCCTACTGATAGCCTTGTTGTACTTTCTAATAAACATCATCGCATTCTGTAGTATGCATGGGGTGGCTTGATGATTTTTGGAGGAGCGACTGGGGGGGGGGGCACGAGTAATAGATACTCCACTGTTCAACAGCCACACTCTCAACACTATTTAAAGACCAGTAGATTGATAATAGATGGAATGGGGTTTATTTACAACTACAAGGATTTTTACTCAAGATAATCAATATAATGTAATAAAATATTTGTTTTGATTGGTGAAACTTGTCTATATATAAACTAGTTTAACTATATAACTAGGTTTTTAAATGAAAATAAATCATAATACAGTGTCACACAAAGTGTAAGCTGCATCCCTGTTAGAAGACCACTGAAATCAGTGGTGGGACGTGAGGATTTGACAAGTATTTCTTTAAACACTTTAGTCCTGCAGGCAAATATCTGCAAATTGTAACTAAGTAAATAAGCATAAAATAAAGAATAAATGCATGGTAGTTATAATAATCAGGTGTCCATAGCAGTAGCTTAGCTCAGACAGCTAATCTGGTGGCAGCCACTGTGTGTGCACTGAATCGTGGAGATCTAGAGGTCCCCGGTTCAATTCCCTCTGCGTGACTCTCCTTGTGTTTCAGCTAGAGGGCTGAAGTACAAGTTGCAGTAGCACACTGTATTTCAGATAACACATTTAAGCTGTTGGTCCCATGAGCAATTTGTCCCTCATCATACACATTAAACGCAGTACTCTTTAGAAAAGTGCCATCACTGCCCTAATAGGTGTGTCGTCTGATTATATTTTTTCAGTCATGACCATAAAGGTGTCCCCTTAATAGGCGTGTCCCGAAGAGGGGTTTTAATGTAGTTCATCAAAGAAAAAAGGCGCTTGTGAATTTTACATTGCGTTTGCTTGAACTCACTGGTTAAATTTTCTAAAAACCAATATGATCTAGCTGTTTAAATTGTTATGTAGTATTAATTTTTTTAAATACCTCCTCATAACACCTTTTACGTGGCCTTATAGATGTTTGAGTCACATTTATGGTCATGATAAGGCCTAAAAAAAAAAACTTGTTTGTTTGCTCACAC